TATCACACTGAACTCCATAGTGATGGGCGGCAGCTTTGAGCACTGAAGAACTGACTTTCACCTGGAGAAAGGACAGCAGGAGACAGACCACAGACCTGTGACCAGGATATCACTTCCTCATCTTCACCTCCTGCCACTCAAAACAGAGGAAATACAGGTAGCACTGATCTACCTCCACCACGAAAATTAGACAGGGGCTCCCATAATAATCCCTTGTGATCTCCACTGCTTTAGAAATCGCAAGGCTCTTTCACACGCATGATGTTCTATATACCTTCAGAGTCATCTCATTGGGTTGACATTACTCTCCCCATTTAAGACATAAGGAAATGGCAGCCCTAACAGAACCCTTACCTCTCTGAAAGCAGAGTTCTGAAGGATGATGGAGGGCCCTAACTCTGGGGAGCCTTGATGAGTCTCCTTTTCAGGAATAAAAGTGATAGAACAGATAAATTTCCCAGAAGACTACAGAATCACAGAGGATGAGTCCGGAAAGGATCAGTTAGAGGGCATCTAGTCCAGAAAGTTATTACTAATAATAAAGCACTAAAATTTTTCAATTTTTTACAATTACAGACTATATCCAAGGTAGCCACCCCATAACTATGTCGATCTCTCACTTGCCTCCCAGGACACTTTCCTGAGAAAGCGTAGTTACAGCTCACTCACAGGGGACTGCACACAGACCAAGGTCCCTCTAACTGGGCCCATACCACAACATTTCCATTACTAGAACTTAGAACGTTTGCTGTCTGGGAGGACCACCCTCCTCATCATTCCTCCGTTTCAAAGTCACTTCCGTTATTCTTTCAGAAGAACCCCTTTGTCCAATAATTTGCATTGGAACTGCACGAAGTTTAGTCATGTATTATATCAGAGGGAACAAGCATGTTTACAGTATCGGGTCTCTGTTCAAATTTTATCTCCTCAGAGGATCTTTTTCTACTGACCTCATAAGAGCTATCATCAGCAGTCACTCTGTGTGTGACCACTAGAATATAAGCTCCAAGAGGGTAGGGATTTTTTTCAACAGAGAGCTGAGACTAAAGATGTCAATTCTCCCTAAATGGAACTATAATTAAATGTCATGTTGACCGTGGCTCACCAAGCACCCCAAATAGTGTCCAGCACAAGTAGCTGATGAGTGCTCACTGCGTGCCAGGGACGGGGACCCAACACTCACAGAAGAGACAAGACTACATGAATTATGCCTTCTCACCAAAATAAAGTATGCCCCCCCTCTTCTTCAGGTCATTCTTACGCTCTTTGGTTAAAACCAGAGCTTCAGTCATATAGGAACCTTGCACATTTCTTGTTTAATTTCAGAGTATTTTAACATTTTTCATATATTTAATAGGATTTTTTTTCTATTAGATTTTCAAATTCGTTACTGCTTGTTTGTACACTGTATCTCCTCTCTAGCCAGATCTTTCTGAACTCAGCTCTGATACAAAACTAATGACAATTAAGAGGAAAAACTCCCATTTATAAGTAAAAACTACCGCCCTTCCTCTCTGATATTTGTATCTTTTTTTTTTCCTTTTCCCCTATCTTATTGCTTTGACTAAACTCTAGGATAATACAGATGAACAGCAATGGCAGTAGGCACACTCCGGCCTCTTTCTAGACTTTAAAGCACAGTTTGGTTCAACTTTGTCACTGTTGTCTGGGCTACAGTTCTTCGGATATTCCTCAGTAAGGAAGTTTCCTTCTAATCTGAACTGGCTTTGCTTTACTGTTCTTTCTGGAAAGACTGAAAATTTCAGGTTTTTTTTTTTTTCATTAATCTGTAAGTATAGAGCACTAACAGATTTTCCAAAACTCTCCCATTATAGATAGAATAAAATCTAGTCTGCCATAGTGTATTATGCTGTAAGATATTACTGGATTTGATTTGTAAATATTTACTAAGGATTCTTATGTAAGAATAACGTTATAATTATTTTTATGCTAAAAATTTTATAAATTTGATTTATGTTTTAAAGATTTATTTATTTTAGAGAGAGAGAGTGCACATGGAGGGGAGGGGCAGGGAGAGTCTCAAGCAGACTCCCTACTGAGTGCGGAGCCCCACAGGGCTCCATCTTACAACCCTGAGATCATGACCTGAGCTGAAACTGAATCAGATGCTTAACTGAATGTAACACCCAGGCGCCCCTATAATTTTATTTTTTATGAATTTCACATAGCTTAGGTTAAATTATTAATACAATAAATGGCAAGGAAAGATGAAGAGAGTAATTCATCTACACACTACAGGAAGAGGAGAACAAAGTTAGGACGATGTCTACTAATATTACACTTGCTATAATTATCAAAGCAAAGACAAACTTATGATAAAAGTCTGCATGACAACTCTAATAAGTTTAAAAATCTCTAAGATTTTGTATTACAATTTTTTATAGTAAGAGTTTATTTAGGTTAATTGAGGGGAATACTCTTGTTTGCTGTATTACCTGTAAAGAGCTGAGAGAATAAAAATCAAGACAGGGGCATATAGGTGGCCTAGTCGATTAGGTACCCGACTCTTGATCTTGGCTCAGGTCGTGATCTCAGGATTGTGGGATCGAACCCCATGTCAGGCCCTGCACTGGACGCAGAGCCTGCCTGGCATTCTCTCTCCCTCTCCATCTGCCCCTCTTCCGTGCATACATGCACTCGTGCTCCCTCTCTTAAAAAAAAAAGAAAAATTGGGGCACCTGGGTGGCTCAGTGGGTTAAGCCTCTGCCTTCGGCTCAGGTCATGATCTCAGGGTCCTGGGATCAAGCCCCACATCGGGCTCTCTGCTCAGCAGGAAGACTGCTCCCCCCCGCCCCCACTGCCTGCCTCTCTGCCTACTTGTGGTCTCTCTCTGTGTCAAATAAATAAATAAAATCTTAAAAAAAAAAATCAAGATTCAAATTTTAAAAAACTTAATATATTTAAAAAATTAAGTCAGTTATATTTACTTCCTTGACAAATGCCTTAAAGACTTTTCAAATGCCTTCACAGCTATCGTGCCCAAAAAAGTTACGGCATTCTTTGCCTGACTTTCCTACCAATGTAGAGGTCTTTTCAAAATCCAGGCACACCCATGTTGTTGAGCATATAAAATATGCTCTGTCACAGGAAAATAAAACAGAATAGCCACTCACCGAATCTCTTTCCTGGGGAAAGAGATGTACTCAAGACGACACAGCAGGTCAGTGGCAACTGCAGAACTGGAATTCACACACCGTGACCTTCAGTCAGTCCTTTCTGTCTTACCTTACCTTCACTGAGGTGGCAAAGGACTTTGGATGCCACGATCTCCCCTCACCTGCTTCTTCACGAAGACTGATGAGTTCCAACAGAAACAGCATCTTTTCACAGCTGCTTACTGTGAATACCCTCTCAAATTCATTCAGCTCCCTTTGTCTCAAAGAACACAGAGTTCCAGCATCTTCCTCATTTACCCTCATGACAGCCTCCCCATACAGCAGGTCTATACAATCTGCAGGTGTGGAAAGGGAGGCAGAAAAAGTCTTAAAATCTACAACCTATCTTCCAGTCCGGCTCTCTTCCTTAAACCATGTCTGCACCTCTTTCTACAGTCTTTAATTTATGCTGTGCCTTCCATTTTACTTAATTTGTGGAAAATGGGGAATAACTGTCCTTATTTGATAGGACTATTGAGGATTTCAATGAGTTAACACATATAAAAATATTAAGAACAGTGCCTAGCACATCATAAATATTAGCTATTATTTCTGCTCAAAACTGTCAATGTGTACAAGGAGTTTCCAGCCTAAGCTTCTGAATGCTTCTTCCACAGGGATGTGTTATAACTCCAAAGAAAACGAGGTCCAAAATGTATTTAATTTGTCTATCAAATCTGCTCCCTCTGGCTTCCTCAGCCCCATTGTCAGGTCACAAATCTGACAGACTCCTCAACCTTTTCTGCCTGATACCTAAGTCACTGCTGCATCTGATCACTTCCAGATACATCTGTTTTTTTCCGTTCTGTGAGCAGTCCCCAATTATGCTGAGGTCATTAACAGCCTCCTCATTATTTCAACAGCCACTAAAACTAATCTTGCTTTTTTTTTTTTCCTCTCTTCAATCCATTCTTCACAGAGCTGCCAGAAGGATCTTCCTAAAAGACAATTCTTATCATACTCCATTAAAACAAATTAGCAACAAAGCCCTGGAAGGATTCAGGCTTAACAGCAGAACAGAGCCTAAACTTTTTATGGGGTATTTAAAGCCTCTGGATCCAGCCTTCTCACCCAAGATGCTTCCAAAAAGGGACTTGTTGCTGTCTCAGAACACTGAACTCATGGTCCCCAGAACTCATCAGTGGAGCCCTGCATTTTCCCATCTCCTTACCTTCGCTCAGATCTAACCCTCACTTAAAGCCCATTTCTCCATCTCGGCCTATAAATGCTATTCTTCAAATACCATTTAGCCAAGTCTCACATTATGCCCGAGAAGTGCTTTCTCTCTTCCCTTTACAGCCTCAAAGAAGTATAGCGCTGGAATCATTTCATCTTACAAATAAAATAACTCTGTCTGCAAATACTCCAAGTGACTAATCAAGGTAACCAAGCAGTCAGGCCTGGAATTTAGATCCAACTTTAAACGCTGCTCTCTTCTCTTAAACTACGTCTGCTCCTCTTCCATAGCATTTAATCACTCTTTGTCTTGTATTTTAGTTATTTATGTAATTATCTGTATTTCAATTCAACTGTATAAACACTAACGGCAAATTTATTCCAGATACAGAATATCTGCAGAAGTAGAACCTCGGGTGTTTGCTGAATCAAATTAAAGTTCCCATGAAAAATCCAGCAGTCTCAGGCTAACCCAGCTTCACTGTGGGACAAGAAACCAAAGACTGAATACTGGAGGCCACCACTTAATAAATGTCACTTTAACGTCCCTGAGCATAGCAAAAAGCCCTTCATCTGCGAAAAACAATAGCTGCCATTCTCACAGGCACCTAAGATTAAGTGAAGTCATGAAAGTAAAACCCTTAACTTCTGGGATATAACTTCTGGCACATCACTTTTAGTGTTGCCCTCCTTCTCCTTTTATGCAGCCTAGTTTTTCTACTATCCAGGCCTGCCATGACACTCTTCTGCCTTAAAACCTTCCACCTCTCCCCACCACCTCACTTATAAAATAAGTCTGGCCTTGTAGAAGCTGCTTCCCAGTCCTACCAGTCTGACGTACCTATCTCCAGGTTTAGCAACAACTGAGCTTCCCACAACCCTAGAATCACATCAAAGAGCACTTGTCTCCCAGACACAAAACATCCTGCTAAGCCTTCTCACTCCCTTCAGCTTTTGCCTGCAATACAAGAGTTTAAAGGGATGGGTGTTAAACTCAGACCTGGATTCACAGTCCAGCTCCGCCACTTACTAAACTATATGACCTTGGGCAAATGACTTCTACTCCCAAGGCCTGTTTTCTCACCTTTCACACGAAGAAACCAAGAATACCCTAGATCATAGTGCTGCTGGCAGAATGTGATGAATTAATGGATGTAAAGTAATTAACTGGCATCCTGCCTGACATCTAGACAAGATGTGGCTGTATTGCCAATAATTTGTACATACTGTCTTGTCTCCACTTCATAGCACAAATTTCACTGTACTGTAACTGCCTCTTTATGTCTGTCTTCCTGTTAGATTACAAGCTCCATGAGAACAGGGACCATACCTCTTATTCTCCGGTGTGTATGTATACGGCAATTTTTCAATGATATCCTCCTAAATAAATGAGTGCCTTAAGTGTCCTATAACCAAACACCCTCCCAGGGCTGTTAGCAACTCCACTCTCCAGTATCATCTCCTCTTGCTGCTTCCTTTGCCTAGTTCCACTCCAACACGGTAAGGATGAGGCCACCTGCAAGCGACTGTCTCTCTCGCTCGGCTGCGAGCACCCGGGGATGCATATTCCCTTCGCGGAAAGGGTTAAGTATTACGTGCCATTAAAGTAAGTAAAGTGGCCCTGGCTGGTGCTTAAGAAAAAGTACCACTATTATTCACGTAAATGACAAGTAGATCGTTGGGGGTCAGGGTGGGCTTGGAGAGGAAAGCGCTACAGAGCCACTGCATGATGGGCTTGGGGTGAGGCGATTCCCGGAGGTGAGGAGGGGGCGTCCGGGAAGCGACCTGTGTTTGTGTTGGGGGGCACTGCGTGGGGGAAGCCGGGGCCCACAGTCTAGTGAGACGAAGCAGGGCTGGGCCCAGGCCCGAAAAGTTGCAGCCCTATGCCCCGCTTGCCTGGCTTCCGAACGAGCCTCACCTCCTGCACTTTCAGATCCTCCAGAGTAGGCAGCTCCACTATCCCCGGCATGATGGCGGCAGCCCCAAACCCGAGGAGGCGCCTGCAGCCGCGTCGCCCCCGTCTCCTTGAATTCCCCTTTCGACCGCCAAGGGCCACCTCACGCCTGCGCCTGCGCAGCCGGCCACGCAGGCGCACTGCTCTGCCCAACCGCGAGCCACAGAGCGTGCGCAGTGTGTGGAAGGTTGGCAGGCGCAGGCAGGCGCTGGGGGCGGGGCTTTGCTTAGGCCCCGCCCATCTTGGTTGTCATAGTGAGACGGGACGCACTGAGACTCCGCGATCCCAAGGGCTGGAGGCTAGAGGCTGGCGCCATGGAGTACACAGGAAGCCAATATATTGGGGAATATGTAGACGGGAGGTAAGAGCCTCATCTGATTCACTGTGTCTTGAGTATTTGTGATTGGGAAAAGACGGCTGCCTTTTCGCATTTGCCAAGGGCTTTGTACCAGACACTTTCACAAACTTTATTCCTTTTAACCTTCAGGACAACCCTTCACGTAGGCTTGTTTATTCCCATTTTACAGTTCAGGAAAATGAGACCCAGTGAAGTAAAGTGTCTTGCTCAAGGACACATATCTAATAAGCAGCAGAGCTGAGGTATATTCATTCCATATATACTTATGTGTTTGCTATCTGCCAGTTTTAGATATGGGGATAAAAATATTAAAAATGTCAAGCAAGATCCTTACTGTCATGGAAGTTACAGTCTAGTTGGTGTATTGCCAATAAACAAAGAAATGAAAAGATAATTTCAGATAGTGGCTTTGCCCAAATCTTCCCCTTCTCACAGCAACCCCATGAGATGGGTATTATCCTCATTTTGCAGATGGGAAAAGTGAGGCTCAGAGTAACTGTGTAGCTTACTCAAAGTACTAGTTGGTGTTGGGCAGATCAGGGATCACAACCCAGGTCTGACTCGAAAGCTCATGTGTTTTCTTCTATGGAGCCCTGCTACTGAGCTCCTACAGAGGACACATCCAGTTGGTGCAGTCCTTGAAGGCTTTTGGAGGAGAAAATATTTGAGATGGGCCCTGAAGGTTAGGTGGGATTTAGGTGGGTAGAGATGCAAGGTGAAGAATGTTTCCAGGCAGAGGGAAGAGCATGGGCAATAGTTCAGAGGATTTACAAGTGGAAGAGCAGGCAGTTAGTTCAGTGTGACTGGAGGGTTGGATGTATCTGGAGGAGAATGAGAGCCAGAGCTGGAAGGGTGGGTCTATGTTCTGGCATAGAGAGATCTGAGTACTGTGCATAATTTTATGGGTGGGGAGCCGCTGATAGATAGATTGTTGGTAGGGCTGGGCATTAGGAAATCTAATTTATTTAATTTCTGTATCCCTCTTCATAGTTCATACACTATGTACTCAGTAAATGTTGGCTGAATGAATGAATGAATGAATGAATGAAATTTGAGATATGATAAGTGTATCCTCACTATGGATTGGAGTCTTTATATCTTTGTTCTTTTAAACTACTTTTAATTTATAATGAAGGCTTTTGCCTTGAGCAAATAAAAGAAAAATGGAAGGAAAGACAAGAGAGAGGAAGACAAGGGAGAGAAGGAGAGAGGGAAGCAGAGTAGAGATGGGGAGATCAAGTCAGAGCCCATGGTTGTCCTAGTAAAAGGCAGCAGGACCCTGGACCAAAGCAGAAGCAGGGGGGCTGCAGGAAAGAAAGATGTAGAAGTTTGGGAATTTTCATTGCCAGGACTTGGCAACTAACTGATAGGTTCCCAGTCCCACTCAGAGACTGCCTCCAGTCCCAGCTCAGTGCCTAGCTCTAGGCTTTGAACCTGGATGATTCTGATACCATTTGTGGGAACTGAGAACTCTGAGGAGGGTCCACTTTGGAGGAAAAGAGGATGAATTTCATTTGGGGTGAGCTGGAGATGTCTGTAGAAGGTTTGAGCACTGATATCCAGTTTGCAGTTTAAAAAAAGGGAGCAGCGTCTAATCTCTGAGAAGGGTTTTGCTGGAGACAGAAATGGTAGATGTGATTTCAAGTAAACACATAAAGGAGAAAAGGCATTCTCTTACCTCTCATGTCTTGCAGGAGAATAAACACAACAGTGAACACAATAGAACTCTTACTCTATTTGAGGCATTCTGCTATTGTTTCATAGCTATTATTTCATCTAATTGTCTCAATTAAGAAGAGGAGTGTTGTCATTATCCCCATTTTACAGATGAGAAACTCAGGTTCAGAGAGGCAAAGGAACTGGGCCAAAGTCACACAGGCACGGAGGTGGCCTGTGCTCAGGTTTGGTGGCTGTAGGTCTGCATTGCTCAGAACTTGTTCCACAATGTCTGACCACAACGCTCTTCTGCTCGGGGCCTGTGCCCCAGTGGCATCTTCCTTCATCCCCTCGGTCAGTTCCCTTCACTCCTTATGCAGTAGCTGTTTACAAGACACCTGTTTACACAGAATCATGATTCTAAGAACTGAGGATACCAAGGTCTTCCTCTCCAGACCTTTAATTAAATAGGGAATATGAGAAATACAATTCCAATGCACGGCAGAAAGTGCTAAGCATCCCACAGACGTACAAACAAAAGCCTAAAGAAGTTCAGAGTTAGAGGAGATGACTTCTAGCCAGCAGGGGACGAACAGGGAAGGAATACAGGAATGAAGAAATGGAGGAAAGGATACTTCTTCAGCACTTACCAGATGTCGGCCCCTTTACTAGGAAAATCATTATACATTATTTGGGTTGATCTTGGGCATTAATCTCAGCCACTTCACACATGAAGTAAGTGGTCAGCTGGTCAACCTGGGTTTCCTTGGCCTGGGCTCCTGTAGAGGCCTACTTCCCCCTGCATGGCAATTCCCACATATTCTGCAATTGCTTAATTGTGTCCCCCACTAGACCATGAATCCCCTTGATGGCAGGGATGGCATATGCCTTGATCACTGCTGTGACCTTGTTGTACCCAGCAGACCAGACTCAGCATGTGTGGTAGGTGTTGATATGTAGTAGATGCTCTGTAAAGATTTGTTGGAAAAAAGGAAGGAGGGAAGGAAGGAAGGAAGGAAGGAAGGAAGGAAGGAAGGAAGGAAGGAAAAAAAAAAAGGTTTAAGAAAGTCTCCAAGATAATACATCTAGGAAATGGTGAAGTACGATTCAAACCTATGTCCCCTGTCTGAATTTCATCCTTTTCCCATTACCTACAAGTGGTGTAAAGGGCAGGGGTGGGCTGGTCATGGGGGACAGGGAGGACACAAAACCAGCTGCCAGGAAAACTGGCCCGAGTCTCTGCTTCCCAGTGTTTGCTGTGTGGCTTTGGGCACATCCCTCCCCTCTCTGGGCCTACCAAGGGCTGTGTTATGGGATGTGAGAACCCCAGGACAGCCTCCAGGTGAGGGCGAAGACAAACCAACAAAACTCTGTGCCCCATCCCCCACCATCAACAACACATACCCTCTCATTTTTGAGTTTTTGAGGGAACCAAAAATGTTGTTTTCTAAGAGAATATTACTGGGACAGTAACCCCTGAGGGCCCTGAGAATGAGGTTCCCACTTGCTCTCCTGTTGCCTGCCTGCTCTGACCCTCCGGCTCTGCACAGTCCGCTGATTTCCCTTTGTCCTTGCAGGATGGAGGGCGACGCTGAGTACATCCTCCCTACTGAAACGAAATATGTCGGGGAAATGAAGGACGGCATGTTTCATGGTCAAGGAACCCTGTACTTCCCCAGCGGGAGCCGCTATGATGCCATTTGGGAAAAGGGACTGGTCGTGAAGGTGATTAGCCTGAGGAGGGGAGGCTGCAGAGGGCAAAACCTTGGACGGGAAGAGCCCCCACTACAGAGCACCCTGATCTGTCCATCTGGCGCCCTCCTCCTTCCATTCCCTCTGCTCCCCTCCACCCGATCTCCCAGAGCTCTGGAATCCACTCCTCTGGATCCGGAAGGGCCCCTGGAGAGGCCACGATGAGTTTGAAGCCTAGTGTATCACTAACTGAGTGACCTTGGGCCCATGACTTCCCCTATAAACTGGGGACAATAGTTGTATCTCATATTGCTGCTGTAACAAATTACTATAAACTCGGTGCCTTCAAACAATAGAAATTTATTACCTTACAGTTCTGGAAGCCAAAAGTCTAAAATAAGTCAGCCATGCTGCATTCCTTCCAGAAGCTGTAGGGGAGATCCATTTCCTTACCTTTGCCATCTTCCAGAAGTTTCCTGCATTCCTTGGCTGGTGGCCATGCCTCAATCTAACCTCTGCTTCTATCATCACATCCCCTTCTCTCTGCTTTTGTCGTCATCTTGCCCTTCATCCCTCTGACCCCCTTGCTTCCCTCTTACAAGGACCCTTGTGATTATATTGGGCCCACCCAGGTAATTCAGGAAAATCTCCCCATTTCAAGATCTGTCAGTTAATCACATCCGCAAAGGACCTTTTGCCGGATGAGGTTAACATTTTTACGGGCTCCAGCAAGTAGAGGTGGATATCTTAGGGGGACCGTTATTCCGCCTGCCCCAACACCGGCCACCACCTGGGGCAGTTGTGAGTGTAAATGAGGTGATCTCTCTAAGCACTGTGCTCAGTGCTTAGTACCCAGTGCTCAGTACCCAGCATCCAGCAGGCACTTAGTGTTAGGTCTTAGTACTACTTCCACAACCACTGCTGCTCTCATGACAAGTCCTCTAACCCATCTAATCCCACCTGGGACTTGTGGACCATGCATACAATTCAGGGGGTCAGTGGAAACTACCGCCCCCCCCGGCTTTATATGCCAAAATTTCTGTGTATCTGTGGTTTTCTCTGGGGAAAGACCTATGGCTGTCATCCATTTCGCTAATGCCCACCTTTGAAATGTTAAGGAACATTCCTTGTTTTACCGCTTGGAGAGTCTGAGCCCCAGGAAGGGGATGTGACTTACCCAAGGTCACACAGTGAATTAATAGTATCGGAATTTCCACCTACGCTTCCTGATGCCCAAGCCAATGCGACCTCTACATCCTGGGGATTCCTTCAGCCCTGGGGCAGCAGGGGCAGAATGTACATGTTTGGACAAAGGGCTGTGACCAGTGGCTGTGACTGTTTTAGCTAGCTCTGCGCTAAACGCTTTGCCGGTGCACTGTCTCATCAAATCAACCCCGTAAAATATATACCATTAGGAGGCAGTTTTACAAATGAGGAAACCGAGGGCTGGGTCATCTGCCCCGCATCGTGCAGAGAGTGGCCACAGAGCCCAGCACTATAGCCGTTCCTTCTAATCATCACAGCCCCAGTAGCTGGGTTAGCTCTCACGGCTCCTCTTGGCGATGAGAAGGTGAGAAAGCCACCTCTTGCCATGACACCCGTCCTCCTTGGCAGAAGGGCTTCCTCACCCCTGCGCGCATGCTCCATTTCTTCCAGGGCACGTACACCTTCTCGGACGGGCTGCAGTATGAGGCAGAGCACTGGCATTACTGCGACAGCTGCGATCGCAGGTTTTACACCGAGATCTGCCATGGCTTGAAGCCTGCAGGTACCGGGGCACCCTCCCTTTCCTTCACACCCAGACCGGGAGGGAAACAAAAGGCAGCCTCATGTAAGGGGCCACGGCCCCTTGAAGTCCCCCTCAGATGTCCGCCGTCCCAGCTCCGTGCCTTGGTTTCTCTCCTGCAAAAGGGGTTCCGTAGCATCATCCAGCTGACAAGTGTGTGGTTAGTAAGCTCATGCAGGCAGAGTGTTTCCAGCAGGTCTGGCATGCAGGAGGTGCATGGCCCATCTCGGCTATCCTTGTCACTAGTACCTGCTGTTGCACGGAAACTAAGCAGCACCGACGGAGCGGGTGCCCCGTGCACCAGGCTCCGGCCGAGGCTCTGTGTGCTGCCGGTCTCACAGAATCTCCAGACAACCTCGCCATGCCCGCCTTTCTGGTCCCATGTGGCAGAGGAGGAAACTGAGGCTCCAGACTCCAGACCTGCTTCCTGGGGGTAGAGCTCCCCAGGGGGCCCAGGTCTTCCTTTCTGTGTCCCCTGTATCAACAGAAACCATGTTCCATCGTGGAGGGTGACGTGCGGGCCCAGACTCTGGATTCGGAGAGCAGCCACAGAAGGGGCTCATGCGTTTCCAGCTTGTGTGCGGTCAGCTACACCCCAGGGGCATAGTGGTTGGCCCAGCCGAGACGATACATCCGAAATGACAAATGGGAAAATGACTGTGCAAACCATAAACATAAATCCTAACTTATGACATGATGTGGTGGAGTTGACCAAGCCTGGAGCTAGAAGGTCTGGGTTTGAGTCCTCAATTCCCTCTCAGTAGCAGGATGAGCCTGGGCAAGTCAGCTTCCATGAGGGCAGAAGGCTCCAGAAGGCACCCAGGATGGAGTCAGGCAGTCCTGAGCTCAAACGCTGGTTGTGTCACTTTGAATCAGAGAGTTGACCCGGTGAACCTTCTCTCCCTTTGTCTCCTTTGTCAGCTCCTCTTCCCCCTAGTTTTTAATTTGGGGGTTCCCAGAGCTCTCTGGCCTCAAGCCCTCTTCTGTAACATTCTGTCCCTCTCCCTAAACAAGCTGATTCACCTCTAAGAGTTCATTTATACCATCAGCTTCCAAATGGAGATCAAAATTCCTGAGCCCCAGGTTCCTGCAGCCAGCTTCCCCAACACCCCAGTTTGGCACCCCTTACCTTGTCTGCACGGAACTCATTCCCTTCAACCCCCAGGGATTGTATCCTCAGAGACTGTCACCCCCAGAGACTGTCACCCCATCCACCTGGATGGGCCGAGTCCTGCCTTCTTCTTTCCCTGTGCACAAGCAACCATCTATCTGGTCCTGTGGATTCTTTTTTTTTTTTTTTTTTAAGATATTATTTATTTATTTGACAGACAGACAGAGATCACAAGTAGGCAGAGAGGAAGGCAGAGAGAGAAGGGGAAACAGACTCCCCGCCAAGCAGAGAGCCTGATGCAGAGCTCGATCCCAGGACCCTGAGATCATGACCCGAGCTGAAGGCAGAGGCTTAACCCACTGAGCCACCCAGGCGCCCCTGGTCCTGTGGATTCTACGTCTTAAATATATTCCTTCATGCGTTCATTGAATAATTGTTGACTGAGGCCCCCTATGTGCCATACCGGGCTTCCTTCACCCTCTCTGGTGCTGCTGTGTCCCAGACCTCCATCCTCTCCCCTGTATTACCTAGTCTCCTGAGATCTAGGTTTGACTCGCTCTGGGCCATTCTGCACTCCGTGGGCACTCTCGTCTTTGCAGAACATGACTCTGATTGTCACTGTCCTCCACCCCCACCCCTGTTACCTACCCTTCAGTGCCTCTCCGCTCCTCTCATGAGAAGGTTCCAGATTTTTAAAATGACTTTCATTCTCTGGCTCCTGTGGCTGAGCCTACCCTCAGCCCACACCACCTGCCCTTCTGGGATTTTCTCTCCTCCCTCGCTGTGCTGGCTCTATCTCTAGACCTTGAAAAGACCACGCTCTTTCCTGCTCTTCCCTCTGCTGGGATGCTCTACCCGCCCATTTCACCCAAATAACTCCTTCCCAGCCTGCAGGTCTCAGCATCACGTCCCTTTGTCTGGGACCCCTTCCCTGAATTCCCAGATGAGGCAAGGTCTCCCTGTGGCATCCCATGGAGCGGCCAGAGCTCGTCCACAGAGCTCTGTCCTGAGTGCACAGCATCCCTCTTCCCACGCCAACTGCGTTCCATGAGGGCGGGGGCTCTTTCTTCGTCACTGCTGTGTCCCCAGTGTCTGGCACATTTCTTGGCACCGAGTCAGTGCTCAGTAAACAATGACACAGGGAGGATAATACTGACATCACAGCAGGGGAGATGAGGTGTGGGCGTTAAGGTCATGACATTGGATTTCCTGAGCACCTACTCTGTGTCAGACACTAGCTGGGCCCCAGGGGGACCGTGTCTGCCTTCAAGGAGCCGCCAGTCTAGGTCCCACTTGAGAACCTTGTCTGTGGCCCCTCCTGGGTTAGTTATGACAGGGCCTGGGCTCTGTCACGGGCTCCTCACCCCCAACGGAAGCCCATAGGCAAAGAGAGAGCCCCTGGCCTCAGGCCTTCAGCTGTCACGTGGCGGCTGGTTTTGTCAAAGGTGGGGCTCTGCCAGGCTCATGGGCAGCGCGGTGGTCTTCCCTGCATCCTTCCTTCTGCTCTGGTGCCTCCCAACGCGGCAACTTCATCCTATGTATCCACTGCCTTCCCAAGGCCTGAGGCACTTGGCAGAGCCCAGCAGCTGGGCTGAAGGTTAACTTCAGCCTCAGGAACAGCGAGAAGCTAAAGCAGCCCCTTCTGCTCCTCTCCGTCTCTGAGATGGCACAGGCAGGAGGCTCTGGGGAGAGAATGGCTGGGAAGCGCTTGGCATGGAGTGAGAGCTCAGTCACCATATGCATGTGGTGTCAGTAACCAACAGAGGAGCACCTGTGTGCAGGACAGGGCCCTGCGCCGTGACCAGGGTGCTCGGGGCGCATCCAGCTCTCAGTCCAGAGGACGGGGAATTACAGGAAACGCAAGAGCCCGAGAAGTTATTTATTCCAACCTCGTCCCCCTCACTCAGGCCTCAGCATTCCAAGATACACAACACCCAGGACAGTGTGACCAACACCTCTCAAGCTCCCAGGGGTTCCAACGTCAGCAGCCTGATGTGCAGGTTTCATGGCTGGGTGCCCTGCTGCTTCCTTGCTGGAGAGTCTGGGGCGAGTTACTTGACCTCTCTGAGCCTCAGTTCTCTCATCCACAAATGGGGCCCCAGGGTTGCTGTGATCATTGAAATAGTAGGAGTCAAGCATTTAATGAATTTCTAGGCACAGGATAAACAGTCGGTAAACAGCCACCATTGTAATTTTGGTTAAGAGTCAAAGTTGATCCCTGCCCACCTGACCCGTTTCTTCCCACTGTTCTCCTTCTGCACTCCTCGGCCCCACCATGCTAGGCTTGCTGAGTGAGGCCTGAGGGCTCACGCCTCTGGGCTCACCCCCTTGCATGCCATCCCTCTTCTAGACACGTCTTTCTATCCCCATTGCAAACTGTGATGCTCCCTCATGCTCATTCTACATCCAGAACCTACACCCCTGTCATCGTGTCCCCAGAAACAGAGGATGGGGGTCAAGGGAAGAAGTTGGGGTTCTAGTCCCTAAGACCCGGTTCCCAGAGCCAGTTTCAGGAAGCTGCTGTGGGGCACTGCTCCCATCGCTTGTCCTCCGTGCTCTGAATGGGGAGCATTTTGCCACGGGGACAACCAGGCAGAAGTGGACTTCTGGGGGGCTGGGTTTTGATTTAGTCTTGGTGGTGAGTTAATTATCCATTGCATCCTTTCAAGGTATCTCTCAGCTCACCAATATGGACCCACCTCGAAAAATCCCCGAGGGCTGTTATGACTGTGGAGATGGCTTCTACAACCCGGCCACGAGGATAATCAAGGACTACAGGAATCGCTTTCTGAGAAATGCAGGTATGTCCATTCTGACATGCCGGGATGCCCGTTTTCTCCTCTCTCGCTCACACGTATCTGTGTGCATCTGTGTGCGCACACGTGCATGCATTTGATGAGAAAGAAACTTCTGATAAAAGACAAAAATTATGATCTGGATGGTTCACCGTGGGGAGTTCTCATGGCGGACGAGTCTCTGCGGGATCACAGAGTGAAGCCAAGGACTGTTGTGGTTAGTTGTGATAGCAAAGTGTAGCACTGAAAGGCTTAAACTACAGATTTCTGCATGCTCTCCTTTGGTACTTTGTAAGCAGTGACTGTGTGCCTAAACACTATGCTTGATGTAGGCAGTGAAGAAGGGCAAATGGAGACACACACCCCTTGCTCACGGAGCTTGTGTTTTGACAGAGAGCAGACAAGTACCAGAAAGGCTTGGTTGCATCGTGAGAAAAGCATAACGAAAGGGGAAAACATGGCCCTAGATGGGGGTGGGGAGAGAGGTAAAGGTGGAGAGTCCCAGGGAGGTGGGAGTGATGCTGTGGGAGCACAAAGAAAAGGTACCTCATCTGGAATTGGAAAGTCAGAGAGTTTCAAGAAGGAAATGACAGCTAAAATGAGACCCAGAGAATAATTGGGAGTGGATCACAGGGCATGGGGAGAGGTTTTTCAGAGAGGAAAGAGCACAGGTGAAGGTCAAGAAAGTGCATGATACCATGTGGTCCAAGAATGCTGGCTGGGGATCCAGAACTTCTGTTGGTAAGGGAATGCAAGCTGATCAGACTGAGACTTACAGTAACCAAACTCACAGGAGGCCAATGTACAAACAAGAACAAGATTGTTTTCGTTTAGCATGGTGATTCCTAACCTTTCTCTTTCCTAGAGTCACGGTCCCACAAGGAATAACATTAGAACTAGGCACCCTCTCCCTAGAAAAATGACCACATGTGCACAGACACAAACATACACGTTCACACTCATGCACACGCATGCACATTTTGCATATAGTCTTAAGGGGTTTCTTCTAAAGACCCAGGTCAAGAAACTGTGCTCTAAAATGAGAAGGAAACTGCCAGGGAGCCCAGGAGGCCTGGACTGGCTGATGAGAGCCTCCTCTCCCTACAGGGCCATTTACACCGTAAGTTGGTGGGGATCAGAAAGTTGCCTTTGTGATGCTGGAATCAGAGCAAAGGGGACTGTCAGCTGGTGCTATGTCTGAACGCCAGAGCAGAGAGCTCAGAGAGCCCCGACCCACGGGTGCTCCTGAGGAACATGGCCAGTGCTCACACTCCGGGTCCCCTGGCAGTTTTCTTTAATGACTTCCTGTTTCCCATTAACAGAGTAGACTGTGCAGAGCACTAATTCTTCTGGGCGTTGGTAGGCTTACTATGGAGTTTCTGGATAAGGAAACTGAAGAGATGCTGAGTTAAACAATGCTTAACCGTTTCATCTATTGAAGGGCTTCCCAGGGCCATTCACATGCTAATACACCCTGTACTTTTCCTCCCCAGCACTTATGTCAACTGTAATTAAATCTTCATTTGTGTGAGTAATTGCTGAACGTCTGTCTGTCTCTCTCTCCCCCGAGACTGTAAGATCTATGTGAGCAGGAACTCTTGTGTCTGTATCAGGTAGAGTCCAGTCAGGAAAATAGAATTTAATATCAGGAGATCCTGGAGAACTGAAAAAGCAAAAGGAGGGAGAGAAAGCAGAGAAAGTCACTGCAGGGAGAAGCAACCCTCCCCGCCCCCTTTTCCTGGATGGGAAACACTGAGACTGAGATATTAGAACATAGAGGGTTGAGAGAGGGACCCCCAGAAGGGGTGACCCAGACCTCTGAGCAGAGCCTCCTGCCCAGCATGGCCTCTGGGCCTCACTGATGCTAGGAGCTGGGGGACAACTGGAAGGTGGAAGTGAGTGGGCCTTTTGCTGTCGTGACATCAACATGAGCAACAAGACACACAGAAAAGAATGTGTCCCTTCTGCCTTCACGTGCCTGCCTTGCAGCATCTAACTGGGGGCTCAGCCGGCAAAGCAGAAACGTCAATCGTGTGGTCCCAGTCCAGACTGCAAAGTGAGAAGAGAAGGGCAGATTTGGAGCCAAGAGTAGCTTCCTCCCTGGCATGGTGCCCCTGTCCTTTTGTTGTTGGTTAGTGTCTGTACACACTCTTCTGTCCTGCAAAGATAACACGTCTGTGCCTTTTTGTGTAATTAGTTACAAGTATCTTTCATATGAGTACAAAGGTGCTCTCTCCACTCCTCCTAGGGGGCAGTTCCTGGGGGATGAAGGGCCATTGAGCAGGGGAACTCATCATCTGGTCTAGATACAGGGTCTCAGTCAGGAAAAAGGTACCGTAAGTGATGGGTCTTAAAGAAGGAGCAGGGATTTTGTTAGCAGGCATGTTGGGGAAGGGCATTCCAGGTAGAGGGAACAGCACTTCCAAAGACACAGAGGCATGGGGGAGAAAAAAAAAAAAAGGCAAAGCGTGACTGGGGAATGAGAAACTGTGGCTCCCGGAATCCTCTGGGCAAAAGCCATGTTTGGTAAGAAAATTGAAAATTCATGATGGGATGAACAGATAGTGCACAGGGGACTTTTAGAGCAATGAAGATACTCTATATGAAATTACAGTGAGGGTTCCATGATATTATACACTCATCCAGACCCGTCAAATGTACTACACCAGAGTGAACCCGCCTGTAAGCTTCAGATGACTATGAGGTGTTGGTGTCGTTTCAGCAAATGCACACTCCGGTAGAGATGGTTGATAATGGGGAGGCCATGCAGGCATGGGGGCAGGGGTCATAGAGAAAATCTCTGTACCTTCCTCTCAATTTTGTTGTGAGCCTAAAACTGCTCTAAAAAAAATAGCCTTTGAAAAATGCATCATGAGATGGGAAGGCCATTCTTTGGAGCTTTGGAGAAGGATGGACACTGAGGACTCTTTGGTCAACAAATGTTTATTGACTAGTGGCTGTGGATCTGACCTTGAGTTAGGAAGCATCACAGAATCTTCTCTCAGGGAGGAGGAGAAAGTGGCGATAGATGTAAGTTGCTACAAGGGAGCGTAGCAGGGATATCTAATCTGGAGATCAAGGTCAGCAGGCCAGGGTGGTTTCCTGGAAAGAGCAAGGTAGAATGGGCAGCCCAAAGAGCAGACAGGTGCAGCAGGGTCGGGAAGGGTGAAAGGCAGAGGGAACAGCATGTGCGAAGGATAAGATGGGGGAGAACACTGCACATTTATGGGGCTACAAGTAGTTTGGGAGCATGAGACAACAATATGTCAGGGCAAGAAGAGCAAGAGGGGGAACCCAAGGGATGGTAAGGGGAAGGGCAGCAAGTTTTCACCCGAGGGCAGCAGGGGAGCAAGGAAAGGTTTTGGGCAGATAGAGTAGTAGCTGAGTCATCATTTAGGGATTTCTCAGGCTGCACAGAGAGAAGGGGCCAAAGGAGGTGAGACTAGATAGGAAAGATGGCAAGATGGCAAGAGAGGGCACCCGAAGGGCCCCAGGCCCCAGCGTTTTGTGCCAGAGACCCAGGTTCCATGTCCTGGCCCAGCTCTTGGGCTGCCTACTGGCTGACCCTGGGCCAGCACCTTCCCTCTCTAGGCCCCTTGCTCTTCATCTGTAAAATGAGGGAGTCGGGCTGGATAATTTCTAGGGTCCTTCCAACCTTAAGAGTCTACGATGGAGGAGAAAGGTAACCAAGGGATATTTTGGTCCTGATATTATAGGACAGTTGGAGTTTGGAGTGTCCTGAAAACCACTAAGAGGAGTCTCTGTTTGTGGCCACCTAGTCATTACCTTTGACTCACCTCACCCTCCCGGGGACCGATTCAGACTTCTGTCCATCTCTTGTTTTCTCTGGGCCCTTTCTCCCCTACATTCTGGTCTGCCCCCATAAACAGTGCTTCCTGTTGGCATCCTGAAGGTGCGGGGCCGCTGGCGATGCAGGCCCACGGTGGGGCCTGAGGCCATCCCAGGATAAACAGAGTGGCCTGAGCCACTGCTATTATCAAGTACATGCCACCTGGCCGGGTCAGAGCCGGGGACACTCTTTTTATAGGAGGTCACGGGCTGGGACACCCGCAGAAGGGTCGCCCTTGTTCACCTTCAGGCCTCGCAGGCTGCCCCGGCTCCTCCCCCACCCCGCCCTGACTTCACTCCCCAGACGGAGATGCTTGCTCTATCTAGGCCAGACTGGAAAACCTTAGCCTGCGGAATTGCAGATGGGCCAAGCTCCAAGCTTGCTTGACAAACCCAGCTTTGCTCGGCTTGGGCTTTAAGAACGGCCTTTCTTACCTGGGGAGGATGGTACCTGCTGCCTGGGTTGTGGTGAGAATTTAAATCTGTCCTTCCACTCATCTAAAAGCTTCTGATTGCCAGTGGGCCAGGCTTTGGGGATCCATGCTGGCAAGAATCCTCGCAGACCGTGGCTCTCAAACCTTCTGGAGGGCAGGGACCGTGTGACGACGTCTGACTCGTCACTGGATTCCCTGCGGCTCACACAGGTCCCCAGACATGGAGCTGATTAAATGTTTCTGGAAGAAAAGCAGACAGGCAGGCAGAGGACCCACCTATAAGCCCCTCCTCTTCCTCAACAAAGTATAGTCCCTGACACCTAACAGACAACTTACTATTTCGAATAATAAGTTTTCGAATAATAAGTTGTCTGTTAGGTGTCTGTTAGCTTCTCCGCACCTGTGGGTTTTCAAAACCACTTAAGCTTTGAAAAGCTTAAAAACTTCAGCATTAAGGATCCCAAGCCTGTGACCTTCTGGCCAGATCGGGTCTGTGCCGTTTTGGTTTGGGGAGCCCTATGCTTGGTCCAGGTCCCCACTCTCCCTGCTGTCTGAACCCCAGTGGTGGCCGTCATTTCTGGTGCCTACCCTAGAACTTTTGTGATCATGAGCCGTGCATCCCCTGGGAAATTCCTATGCAGCTGGGGACGGGTGAGGCCAGAGATTAGGGGACTAGGGCGTGCGTAATGAATGACAGATCAGGGAAGGTGAGGCTGGGATCAA